AGTAAAACTAATGTCATAACGCGTAGAACGACACATTCTGGCATAAGGAAGTAAACGATCGCTCAATCCATAACTGCCAATATTCCATCTAGCACAAGGAGATACGTGAATTGTCCAATATCGAGACAAACTTCTGGTCGAGTGACAAGTGTTCGGCAACCGGTCCTTTGCGAAGACTTACGCAACAAACTATTGTTGCGTAATACATTGTAAAACATTGAGGTTACACTCAGACCCTCCTGGCCACGAAATGGCCTCATGGTAAAAAAAAAATTACCTCAAAAAGAAAATCAGATACAAAGTAAATAAGACATAATACAAAATATAAATAAGATACAAATGATACTCAAATATAAAACAACAATAGGAAAAAACATATAACAAGCACTCACGAACATACAAACAAAAATTAACGCAAAGGACAGCATCAGATCAGAATTCCAATTGCACCTCAATTTGAATTAAAAAATTTAAGGACATCTTGTGCAAGAGCTATAAAAAAGCCTTGATATCAAAATTATCATTATGTATAGCATTATCAATTTTGCAGTTTCCTCTGATCGGCGAAACTAGGACAGTCCTCCACAAAATGTTTCGCGTCTCCAATGGCATTACAAGAAGCACAAAGTTCATTATTTTGTAACTTGAATATCTTAAAATAATAGGGAAATCTCCCGTGGGCAGTAAGAACTTGGTTTAAATCAGTATTGTTAAAAAATAGCCATTTTGCTAGAAATTCTGATAATTTTCATGTATCCTTTATTTATTTTTTTCGTGAATTTTCCCATAGGATTTTCCATTTGTCAATGTAAAATTTCTTCATGTGTGTGATGGCCATCTGTTTAGATCCTGAAATTTCAATAAAAGGGATATTCATATCAGAGGCTGCCTCCTTGGTCAGACAGTCGGCCCTCTCATTTCCAATATACCCCACATGAGCTTTGATCCAGTGCAGTTTTACATCTAAATACCCGTTCAGAGTTTGTAAACAGTTTTTGATTTTCAAGATTATGGAATTGGCGTTGTCTGAGCGGGAAGCATATTTCGTAAGTGCACATAACCAGGAGGTGATATTTGAATTGATGTTCACGGCATATTATCGCTCTTTACATCGAGAAATTGATTCAAGCTACAATTAGCCTCGAATATTATGCATCTAATAACACCTGTGGATTAAGAAAATTCAAGTGCTGTGTATAGTTTTATTTTTATTGAGCTGAAAGGGACTGGAAGCGTTACAATGAATCTAGAGTTTGCTTCTTTCAACGCTTGCATTCTTTTGATTTTGAAAGTCTAAGATTCAGAATTCATATCGTGTATGATCTGATTATATGCATTGTTAACATTAAAAGTTATATGTGAATAAATTGAATATATTCGTTGTGAATAAGATAAATTCATTCTGTTTGATGAGTATTTCTTGTGTAGACAGTACATTTAAGAGTGAGCGGTTAGTATATGTGAAATTTAACACACTAAATGTATACGAATGCAAATTAGTAAAGTTCACTTTGAATAATAGTCTGCATTGGCTATTATTATAGAACATTTTTTTTTTCATATAGACTGCAATAAAAAGTGCTGAAGTTAAGTGTTAAAAAGTGCTGAAGAAGAAATAAAAGTTACACCAATTACGGTGTAAATATTTTTCTCATATGCATAGTTTTATGTAAAGATAGCATTTGGGCTCAGATGTTTATCACATTTTTCTTTCTTATCTTATTAAGTAATATTTCACATGTATATTTTTGCGGAGTATCCAACATGTATGTGTATTTATTTCAAATTCTTTCAACCCGATAATGAAATCTTCACATTTGCTTATATTTGATCTTGTTTTGTATATTTTATACCTCCGAATGTCACAAGATGCAATGATTAATATGATTTCCTTTTCTTTATTAGCTTGTGTCCTCCTCTCAGAGCGTTAAATGACGTAATCTATGTTTTGGGGCAATCTGCCAACTTTAAACTCTGAACTTCAGTTATAGAGTCGTAGTAATGTTGATTGTTGCTGTATTGCGAATGCTTACCTTTTCACTCTCCTAATAAATGCTTGTTATCCCTGCTATGAAGTTAGTTAATTAAATTTATTTTATATAACAGATCTAACTTCGCAATGAAAATTTTGAGAAGAAATCGACGATGCTTTAATTATTTTGTACAGAAAATTGAATGGTAAAATATATTCAACCGTCTTGCTTAAATCTTTTAAAGATTGCCCGAAAGGTTATGTGACATGACAGAAATATTACTGGATGCCCATTGGTCCATCCTAGAAGCCACTCCGTTGGTGGCTACACAGATGTGCACTTGTGAAATATGCGAGCGGGAAAGACACTGAAGCAGCGACAAACAATCTGTGTAAATATTAATCGCATTTTGAAAAGCATCTGTTAATCCAAATTAAGGCTTGATATAGAGCCTCGCACTCTGCCTGAAAGAGTTATAGTTGTTTAATCTAAATTTTATATAGGTGATTTCGACACTAAAATAACATGCAACAAATGCTACTCCAATCCTCTCCTCAATCTCAGACCCGTCTGTAAATATATCGTATGTACTAGAATCAACAATCTCTTTGTCATAAAAAGAAAGCCAATTCTTTTAGAGGGGTGCAAAAGTTGAATATTATAGCTCTCAAAAACCTACTTTGTGACAATATAATCATTATATATTTTAAAATCAGTTCGGTCGGTACGTAATAAGAATTTCTCCAGAAAGAATTCGTAGAGAACTGAAAGGGGCCGCCATCCGGCCAAGACAAGCACAGCCTCAGTGGGGACTGTCCTAAAGCATATTATGACCGCTAAAGCTCAAGCTCTCTATTGTCGTGTTTCCCGAGACATCTGAAGCGTCGGTTAACACAATTTCCATATCATACCTATTTTAGAATACTGATTATCGACTGGGAATCTAGAGGCGATTTTACTCGATTCTTTTGCCATTGTTGCATAGCCTGTCAGTGTAGAGTTCTGTTTAAGGATAACAAAACAGGAAACATTACAAGATATATTAGCTGAATGCTTATTGATTATACTTCTGAGGAATAAAAGCAGTTGAGTATTTACCATACGTTCCATTCGTATATACTTTATCAAATTAAGGAATAAATTCAGTTCAAATCACTGAATTAATTTAAATTGCTGAATTAAAGCCAAATAACTGATATTAATTGTAATATTTATGGACAAAATAAGCCAAAATTAAATGAAACAGAAGCACATCAATAAGCACACAACAGATTTCTATAGTAATGCAATTGTAAAAAAAGGTACCCCTCCCGAACATGACTAACAAACAGCCTTGAGTAGGGTTGCTTATGCTTAGTCGCCAGGATTTCCTCCCACCCCAGCGGTATACTATTGAGCATGCGCAGTAAGCAAAATTCGGTAACATTGATCAACTTAATGTGCGGTTTGCCATTACGTTCACCGGGCCAAGAGTGCCGGCGACCAGATATCACCACTGAGTGTGTCCTTATAAGCTTGGAGATCTAACTGGGCATCAAAATGCTGCCTGCGAGTATTGCACGGCCTGATGCCGTGGTGTTCTTAAACAGGGCTTAGAACACCTCACCCTGTGGGCCACTCGAATGAACTCCTGCAAAAACCCACAGTCACGCGCCAAGCTCGTGATTTTATAACCCCGTTGCCGAGACTGCGTGGGTACTGATCATAGCCAGTAGCTTCACAGTTTTTTACTCGTTGACCCCGCGGTGATACACAGAAAGAAAATAAAGTTAGGTAACTTGCAGAGACATTAGGATTTTTTTGGAAGCAAGAGACATGAAAAATTAGCAACCGCCTTCGCCGGGAATCGAACCACGAACCTCTGAAATACCGGCCCAGCGGGCAGAAACACTACACCACGTAGGCACGTTAGGAAGGCGGGAGAAAAACCTTATATACTTCCCCTTTAAAGGGAGACTGGTGTTTTTAGGGAACCCAATCGCCAAATCCTGGGTGAGGAGAATCATCATCTAACACTCTTTTAGTTCGGGCGCCACTGTAGAGATATTAGGATTTTTTTGGAAGCAGGTAAGATGAAAAATTAGCAATCGCCTTCATCGGGAATTGAACCACGGCCCTCTGGAATACCGGCCCAGTGTGCAGACCACCACACCACGAAGGCCCGCCAAGATGGTGGGAGAAATACCTTATAAACTTAATAATTATTTTTATTTCTTTGCAATTAAAATTTCTTAGTTAATTTTTAAATTTTAATTTTATATTTGCTTAATACGAATAGAGAATATTATATTTGCTCTATACGAATAGAGAATATTTGTTAAATTCAAATTTCATTCCTTTCAGCAATGCCGCAAGAGATTTAGTTAAATTAAATTTAACTTTAATATTTTCTTATAAACTTAATAAAAATTTATTTAAGAAATCATTATTTTCAATGGTTATATTAATGTCTGTCAGATGAATGATTTAAACATATTGATTATTCTTGATATTGAAAAGGAGCATCTTGACATTTAACTGTGATGCGTAGAATAAGATACATTCCGCAAGAGAAGAGGAAAAATGTGGTTATGTGTTTAAGAACAATAACATTCGCATATACTATGTTTACAATGGTGGTGTTTGGTGGTGGTGTATTGAGAATACGGCAAAGCACACTAGGGCTATCTGCCTAAGAGGAGTGATGCCTTCGTGGAGGACTTTCTAAGGGAAACTGGCTTGTATACACGTTACACATGGGGAAAACCCCGAAAACGCCCATGCAGCCAGCCCGTTCGCGGGATTCGAACCTCCGACCGAACTACCAGTGTTCAGCGATTTTACCGCTCGGCCGTTGGTGGGCTGCTTACAATAGAGTCGTCGATAGCAGATATTCCGCTGAAATTAATTGATTTTTCGAATTTTGAAATTTATGTCTATTGCGAGAAATTAAAAAATAGGCTTAGAAATGATTTCTCTTTTCTTGATATCAACAAGCAGGTTCTTTTGTTATTCAAGGAAAAACATGTGAACTTTATTTGTTTCAAGGTAATGCCGGATATCACGGTCCTTATAGCAAGCCGTGTTAAGGACGAAATGAAGAAATCAATTAATTATGAAACATCTGTGCAAATTTCTGCAGAAAACGAGGTAAGATTTATAAATTTTTCTTATGCGTGATGCTTACCAGTATTAATAATGGTTTTATTAAGAATATTAAGTGTATATCAGTTAACTGAAAACTATTCCCAAGACCTCGAATATCGTTTTCTAAACTTTTAAATGTAAGTGTAATAATAGTGTATTTTATAGTTCATGAATAGTTCTAAATTATTGAAATAGCCGAATTCGGGAAAGATCTGTTTATCTGCAAGAACATTAATACAAAGCCAATTCTCTTTTATTAAATATTAATTAGTGTCATAGAACATTTTATGCTGCTAAAATTTTATTAATTTCATCAGGCTATGTTTTAATATTTTAGCTGCTGTAATCGATTTTTAATGAACACACATAAATATCGGAATGTTAATTTTTTAATACCTTCCATTGTAGATATTAAGGATACCAACAGCTGTAATATTAGAAACATCAATAATACTGAAACATTTTAATATAAAAGGATGCTTTTATAAGAATTAGTACTTAATTCTAAATTTTCATGGGAGATTGCTGAGTTTTTTAGTTTAAATATTAAATTAGCATGTATATTTAGTCCTTGAAAATCAGTGGTTGTGTCAGTCCATAGTTTGAGATAACATGTGCCTTAGGTATATGCATTAGAATTACACTAGTCTATTTCCTATGGTAGATCTTTTCAATAAATACACTTAAAAATCTTTTGAGCTACATGATTTTAAAATAAAAACTTCTGCACATAAATTATGTAACTTACAAGATTAAAAATAACTTCAAATTTATTTTTTGAATATTTAAAAATAGATACAGATAGTACTTTATTATTATTTATTATTATAAAATGACTAAAAATGTATTATGAAAAATTATTAGTTTCACAGCTAGTACTGCAGTGAACTCAGTTGCACAAATATCTATATTTTTCTTTGTGATATTATATTATAGTATTCAAAATGTGTTAATTTGCAGTTTATACTATAAGTAGGATAATATTCAGTTGCTAAAAATTAAATTTTAAGTTGTATAAAATTATATATTAATTTTGAACTGCGCAGAACATTGGCATCATTATTCTTACATGATTTAAGGGCCAGCTGCATTTACAATGCTTCGGAAATTTGACTATTACGATTTTCAGAAACCAACTATTTATATTTACCGTTCTGCTTTTTAAGCTGATAAAATTATGACTTAAAAATATTTATAGTAACTTTCTTTTTAGTGTAGAAGAGCACTCTATGTAAACATGATTTAATGTACTCATTTTTACATTTTTATAAAGGAATTAATTATCAGATCAAGTAAAGAATTCATAAATAAATATTAACAATCAAAACATGGTAAAGCAGCAAACAAAAGAGTATCATGAAGATAACAATAACCTATGAGTTACCAAAATTTATACTAACCAAAATGAATGAACAGTTAATTAACGGATGAAATAATAATTAAAGATGAAATGCAAATTTCACAACTAATTAAAAAAAACAAAGTTTCCGAATCACACACAGCACAAGCTTGTTTGTTTACATTAGCAGTTCTTACATCACGTGACCTCCGACGTCACCGGAATGTATCTCATTAAACATATTCTTCTTGTTACTTATCTTCACTTGTCTGAGAGTAACAGCAGCCCAAGCCCACGAAAATCCTCGTGGAAAGGAGCGCAGTTTACGACTGCCGTTGGCAACAGCCATAAGCATCTTACAGATGTCGGGGGATTTAGCTCAGTTTTGCCCCAATTTTGATGGAGAGCACTTTTCCGGGGGGAGGGGGGGTCCCAGGGTCTGCCACCCCTCTCCCCTTCTACCAAACCACCCTAGAGATCTTTCGTCTCAGCACATATTTAGAATGTTGCCTTGCCACCCCGTTACTATGCATTTACAAACATCCATGCTTTCTCCGAAGATTCGAACCTAGCCCTTCGCCACGGCAGTCAACCACTATACCTGTTGGGCGGCTAAAATTACTATTATGTACTGAAAGGAAAAATAATCATACGTTTCCGTTCAAGGAAAGCAAATACTTTGCATATGCTAAATATTTAAAATATTCAATCTGTGAATATTTAAATAGTTAAATAATTTATTTTAGTTCTCATTCCGCATATAAAATTTATATTTCCTACAGTGAAGAAAGACTGACCTCTTGTCATGTATAATATCGTACAGCCGACTAGATTAAACCGTCTCATTTTATTCAGTTTCGCAATGAAAGAGGTTTGCAGCATATGATAAAATTTATTCATGAAATAAAATTTCAGGATCATGTTCTAAGTTCTCTGGAGCTAGCCAGCTGCCAATGAGCCGAATGTGATCATTATAATTCACGCATGTGTTCCTCATAGCAGTTATAGTTCGGCCGAAATAGCTTGCGCTTCCCGCATTCTATAATTAAATTATGATTAATAACAATGAGAGGCGAGAAGGATTTCACCGTTAGAGCCATCTTGTAGCAGGCTGGACGGCAGTGAGTTACAAATCACAGACTAGATCTTAAATGATATTTGAATGATTACGTACTGCTTGATATAGGGTCGAATCGGCAGGCTAATCATGCAGTAATCTGAGGAAGCAGCCACAAAAGCCGTGTAGTATGATTTGATTTAAAATTAATATGAATACGCTGAAAATGCATATGATGCATAAAAATGCATATATGAATGAAGACTAAGTAAAAGCACGAAATTTCTAGTATCAAAAAGATCACTGCTACGTTTTAAGGGGAGGTTTCGACATCCCTGCATTTGTGGACGTCCTGTTTCCTACGACCATGTCAAGAGTTCTGAAGGAGTGTTGGAACCCAAAAATCTTCAAAAAAAGGTGATTTCGGATTTTTGCATTTTCGAATTCTCTACACTTTTATCTTTCTAAAAATGCCATTCTTTAATCTCTATGGAAATTAGAACTGTAAAAAATCTAGTTTTAATTTGTCATCGAATGCTCTGATAAATGAGGATTTTTACATAAAAACTCGTTTTTCTCCGAACGTGATTTTTCTATACTCGATGTACCTTTTCTCAGGAACTACTGCGCACAGGTGTTTAAATTTTTTATGGCTTATTTATTAGATTTCCTAATATTTACTGGAATGAGCTTTTTGTGATAAAGAGAAAGAGATAAGAGAAAAAAAATATTTAAAATTATTTTTGTGTGAGAAAAGTGCTAAATTTTACCATGCCTAATAAAATATTCTGCAAATTACTCTAAAATTCAAAATGCTTCAAAATCTCATTTCATTATAATCAGATAGGTATTCTTTAATTACACAAAAAACTTCAAGAGTGTATCTACAGCAGATTTTGAGAAAAAGTACATCGAAAATGACCAATTTAACATTGTCGGTATAGGGGTTGCTGATACCCTGGAAGCTTTTGCTATTGTGAGCAAATGTATTTGTTGTTTATACTTTTATACTTATTATTACTATGTATTATTGCATTATTACCTCTTTAATGTATCATAGTATTATTATTGTATTTTGTTTGTTTTATTTTTTTAAGTATTAATATATTGTATTACTATTACATCTCATAACTCCTTCGCTTTATTATTATTACTGTATTATTATGTATACTATTGAAATCTATGCATGTCTGTCCCTTTTTTTTTTTTTTTTTTTTTTTTTTTTTTGTTTGTGGAATTATTTCCTCCGGAATAGCGAGAAGCTGAGCTTCGAGAGAGGTAACTCCCCCCCCCGGATTTCAAATATTTCGTGGGAAGGCATTTCGACCATTCTCATCTTAGTACGATTGTAATTAGCCGAGATATTAATTAAAAACTCAAAAAATGCAAATTTTCGCCCTCATTTCTACGAGTGCAAGTCTTGCGTGCTGGAGATAAAAAGCTGTGCTACTTCGAAGGGTTGCCTCTGCTCGCTTTCAAATCGTAGAGTTTCTTAATCAAAAATTTGTAAGTTTTATACAAAATATGAAATCAAAATTTGCCAAACATTAAACATATCATTACTAGAAATCCCGGCGGTCATACGAAATGACCACTGTTCTAGATATTATAAATTGTAATTAAAATGATTTGTGCAAAGGGTCTGCTAATTCAAATTGAAATACCCAGGCCAGACGGCGAGGACGCCCCTTTGCTTACTGCCCCGCAGGGATTCCCCCTTCTACTTGCTTAATTGCTTAAAGTAGAAAGCAATGAAGGAAACCACTGGCGGTACATTCCTTAAGAGCCACCGCTAGCTCAATAAATAAAGGTGATTTAAATAATAAAATGTTAATTCACATGTCAAAGATCTTTTTGTGCACAACATTTCTTGTGTAGATCCTTTCATCATTTTTAAGCTCGCCTTGCAGAGGACCATCCATTATTTTTAATTTTACGTTCGTTCTTTCACGAAATCTTGAACAGGCAACATAAAGCTGACCGTGTCAAATGCAGGCTCAGGTAAAAAAATGCCAACACGCTTAAACGTTTGGCCCTGAGACTTAGTGATGGTCATAGCAAAGGCAAGTTTTACAGGAAATTGTCTACGTCTCAATTGAAACGGCAACCCTGTGCCGTAGCAACTTCACCCCATTGGCTAGTACAGTTACGCAAGCAACCAATAAACTATCGGCGATAAACAGACACTTAAGCCGCATATAATGAAGATACTTATTTATGTATTTATTTGTTTTTTCATAGTTGCCGGTTTTTGCCGGTTGCATATTTCCGAATTCTATTATATACAGATGTTAAATTTATTTATTAAATGTTAAATGCACGTGCTCTTGTATTTTTAATTTTGCCGGCTTAGCTTTCTCATAATATTCGTCATGCGCTGCATTTCACGGGGAATAAAACAATTTAGAGTTACGCCAGCAACCAATAAACTATCGGCGACAAACACTTCAGCCGCATATATATAAGATTATATAAGATCGTATGCTCATGTTGAAGAAAGCACGCGATTGTTTGTGACGTCATTATATGTCGAAAGGTTTCGTTAATGACAGCATTTTAAATAAATAGCTGCTGTTTACAACTTTGCTATTTCGAGTTATAATAATTGGCACGT